GCTGAGATAGTCTGGCCTAGTGTGAGGCAAGTGTCTGGGATAGAAATATTAAAGCCTTAACACTGCATGTATCCTCTCTATAACCACACAGAGGGCTAAACAAAGTGCAGACCTGACACAAATGGAGTCATTGCTGCAGCTCAGCACATTTTGCATCCAGTAATGCTGAAGTTGTTAGTCCCCGAGAGATTAAATTGCTTCTCTCCTTTATTGCTGTGATTGTCTCCACTCACAGCGCAGTATTCGCTGTGGATGACAAATGGGCCTTTCTGTTCTTATCTATGCCAGGCACCCTGTGTAAGCATACCCTGACTCTGCCAGCACTCACTTCTTCAAAGGGCCGTGAATATGTACAGGGAAGAAAACTCCTGGCTACACAGATTGGGGAGGAGGGGGAGTGCAAAAGGGCATTGTAAGGCACTGCCTGACAGGTGGCAGAATAGATGGAGGTGAGGGAGTGACTGGAGATATGGGCAGAATGGCTGCTGTTCCCATGGGCAGCCTCTCACCGCAGCAAGTGCAGCTTGACCTTCAGACAGAGAGATGCTTACTAGAAGTCAGGCACCTCTGAATGTAGAGGCATAGTGAACTCCTTCCTCACCTGGGGTGGGGAATGGGAATTTTGCTGTCCATGGAGAGCACAGTTCAGGGCGAGAGCGGAGTCTTACTTGCCCCAACTCGCCACACTCTGGAGGCGGCTGCTACTGCTGCAGCTCTGCTGTTGCAGCATGGGCTCAGGCTGCTGCTGCTGGGCACCAGGCTCACTGCACACCAGCTGCACGGCCCCATGGCGTGGGCTCACTGGGAACCTCCCCTGGTGCCCCATTTGCTCACCCCTCAGATATGCTACTGGGTGCAGGGCTGCACCTGCCAAAACCTCCCCCGGGTGAGGGTACCATTCCCCCCCCACCATTTTCAGTGTTCTCACTGGTGGCAGATGCCAGAACAAGGAGCAATAGTCTTAAGTTGCTGCAAGGGAAGCTTAGGCTACATTTTAGGAAAAACTTCCTCACTAGCAGGGCAGTAAAGCACTGGAACAGGTTAGCCAGAGAGGCTGAGGAATCTCTGCCCCTAGAGGTTGTTAAGACCCGGCTTGCAAAGCCCTGGCTGGGATGATCTATTTAGGGATGGTCCTGCTTGAGCAAGGGGTTGCATTAGATGGCCTCCTGGGTCCCTTCCAACCCTAATTTTCTATAATTCCTCAGATACACTACTGCATGTGGAGCTGGGCCTACCCAGCTCCTAAGGGTGGGCACCGTGGAGCTGCTTCCGCCATGGTAAAGATTCTGTGTGGGGAAGGAGACGTGCCATTTTACTGCTCCTTCTATGTCGGCACCTGTTAAGTGTCCCCCTAGAGAATTCGCCCCACGGCAGCCCATTTCTCTACTTTGTTACTTTTTGATTGGAAATGGATGATTTCCCTGGTTATCACATGCTCATTTTTTGTTATTGATCTTATTTGCCTCTCCAAGGAACCTGCCTAGTGAATGCTAGAGCAAGTGGAACATGGGAGAAGGTGAATGAACAAAGGGCTGTTCATACAGTAGAAACAATGGCCACTTGCCTCCTGAGTGGCTTAGTTTGCTCTGAGGGCTGGAATTGGGCTGCAGAAACTGTGCGCACTGGACTGCTAGAGTGAATTGGACTCTGATAGCTGTTACTGGCTCTGGGCAATGGCAGCCTCTCTGTGAAATGAGTCAGTGAGGTACCATTCTTAGTGAGCAGGTGTCTACAAGAAACAAGGGTGTATTTCACATCAACTAGTTCCTTTGTTTCTGGAAAGAGGTTAGGGACTGAACGAGCCATGGGAGCTGGGCTTCCATCTGGAAAGATGTTCCAGTTGGGTAAAAGCTGAGGTCCAGCAGAGTGGGATGCCTTTCTAGAAATCAGGATTGCATTTGTGCTTGCATTGATTGGAGCTGGACAAAGAAAAGATGGTACTTTTGGGAAGCAGGACTAATAAAAATCTAGGAATTGCCTTTGCTTTTGCTAACCTTACCTCATCTCTTTCTGTCTCTGCCTCGCTATGTTCCATGACATTTGGATGCTCAGAGCAGCAAGGGCTTTCGGAGAATATCTTTCACAAAACCATCCTGAAAGCAGAAACGGCTCAGGTAAGAAAAACTGTTTGTGCTCTTCATATCGGTATAAGAGATGGCATTCAGGCATTGTAGTAGACTGAAATAAAGCATGTAGCACAAGAAGTCCATACAGGCTGTCAGCATCTGAGAGCAAAGCCCTTCATCCTCTGGACCCCCAGTTCAAGAACATTAAAAAAAAGGTTAAAAGAGAAAGCAGTTAATTTAGCAACACATGGATGCTGAGTTGGGATGCGTGTCCAATGCTCACTGGACAGGAGCTATGTCATGAAAACACCTCTACAGCTGGCTTCCCTTGGAAAGAATCTCAACAGAGAGGGCAAACTATTGTGCATCAAGAGACTAAACTTGCTTTTCACTGCTAGGTGTAATTAATATGTTTTAAATAACCTCTGTTAAAATCCCATTGTAATCAGTGAAGATCCAAGTGACCTAGTTGTGGTAACCCCTGTAATTCTAGACTGACTCCTTTAGAGTTCATCTTGACTAAAGGATTTAAATTAGAGTCGACTTGTCTTCAGCAGAGTTGTAATAAATATTAGCTAACATGTCACACACACATGCTTTGGATTGGATCCAAAGTCCTGTGAGCACTTTGCAGGGTTGCGCCCTTTGCATTTGCACATGCCATCTACGTGGCTCTATTCTCTGCTCATATCTTTCTGTTTTAGTGTGAGAGCCCTCACCGGTAAGACCTGCAAGCTGTCTGGTATAAGAACCTATGAAGTTATGCTGATGCTCAGTTTAGTATTTTTCATCTATATGGTGGCAGTACCCAGAAACCTCAGTTGGGATTAGAGCCCTGATGTGCAGGCCACTGTCCAAATGCACAGTAAGAGACAGTTTCTGGCCTGAAAAGCTGGCAGTCCATAAAAAATGAGTGAAACTCCTAGGATCAGTGCAACAATTGTAGGAACACTGTGATACAGGTGAGCTGTCCGCACAGCTTTATTGTTTGGTTCCAGCGGTTGGTACAACAAAAGAACAGCAGCGGGGAGGATTTTTATTACATTTTATTGAAATGACATTTACAAGCAGTATTGTTGCTATTTATGCACTTTCGCTCGCTGGACCATAACCAATTTTAAAGAGAGGCTGGCTGTGATAAACCTTAAACTAAGAGAAATGTTATGTTTCATAGTACCTTTCCCCCCTGCACTCTTGATTAAGCCACAGGTATTTTTGAGATATGGAAAGCAGCTATTGATGACTCACGCAGCCTTCACACACTGCCTGTCAGATGTTTCAGTTGCACAGGAGTAGGCTGAGGTCTTGTCTACATCCAGAGTTTTGCAGACAGTGGTTCTGCCAGCTCAAAGCAGCTGACACTGCTAATCCGCCGGAGCACGTACTCATCCCTGTGTTAGGCTGGGGGCTGCGTATCCTTTTCATGAGCAGCTTTGTGGGCTGATTGTGAAGCGCAACTTGGGAAGGCATCCCAGAGGCTCTCAGGGCACCTCCCAATGCAATGAACTGTGGCCAGGGGGAAGTAATTATGGAATATGGTAGCCAGCCACCCCTAAGCCATATGGAGAAGGTAATGGGGGTGTTTCAAGGCATAGTTTCTCAACCTGTGGGACGCGTACCCCTGGGGGTATGCAAGACACAGGCAGGGGGCATGCGGGTACCCCAACACTCTCTCTCTCACCCTCTTTTCATCTCTCTCTCACCCCTTCCTCCTCTCAAAACTATGGCAAAAAATTTGGTGCATCACACATTGTGCAGCACTTTAACTTCTCCAGTAATAAGTTGGGGTTCAGCCCTCCTAGCTTTGGCCAACACCACCTCTAGCCCAGGTACCTACTTGAGTTGTGCACCCCTGGTGTAAAAGGTGGCAACCCTATCCACGCCAGATCAGACGTCTGTCATATCACGGCCTTATATACACAGCCCGTCTTCCAACATATGGCACACATTAGTCTGTAAATATAAAATCCCCTGGAAAATTGAGTGTTGGGGTGCTTATTAAAATTTTCAGAAGTTAGTGGGTACTTGCTACTTAAAAGGTTGAGAAACACTGTTTCAAGGGATGGGTTGCCTGGACTAGGGTGGCGCAGGAGAATGAACTCATGTACCTTGTCTGGTGTCACCCCACACATCAATTATCCCCGTGGTGATGCAGGCAGTGGTCGATCACTGGGAGGTTTTATGAACACTAATGTCGACTGGTCAGGACAGGTACACAACGCTTGCATATCCAGGCACATAGGCCTCTTCCAAAAGCTGCAAGCAGGAAACATCTTTCAGATTGGGATATTGAAATGCCCAGGATCATTTTGGGAGACCCAGTCTTCCCTCCTCTGCCTGGCTCACAAAGCCATACACAGGTACTGTATTTCACGGTGTATAAGTCAAGTTTTGAAGCCCAATTTTTAGCTCTTAAAATTCAACCTTGACTTATATATTGTATCACCATCCCCTGTGAGTGGCGCCAGTCTTGAGTGCCAAGCCCAGCCCTGTCCCCTGCAAGTGGTGCCGAGCTTGGTGCTTGGCTGGTGTGGCCGGACTTGGCACTCAGCAGTGCCACTCGCAGAGGATGGGGTTGGGCTTGGCACTTGGCTGGCACAGCCCAGGCAGTATCGCTTTCAGGAGATGGGGTGCCAGCGCCGCTTGCAGGGGCTAGGGGCTGGGGCTGGGCTTGGTCCTCAGCTAGCACGGCACCATCCCCTGTGAGCGCTGCTCCTTGGGCTGCGCCAGCCAAGCATTGAGCTTGGCCCCATCTGCTGCGAGTGGTGCTGCCAAGCACCAAGCCCAGCTTTGCCAGCCGAGCGCTGAGCCTGGCATCGCTCACAGGGGATGGGGCTGGGCTCGACACTCAGCAGTGCCACGTGCAGCAGACAGGGCCAGGTTTGGTGCTCAGCTGGCACAGCCCTAACCCATGTGAGCGGCATTGGGCTCGGCACTTGGCTGGCATGGCCCAGGCAGCTCCGCTCGCAGGAGATAGGTCTGCTCCAGCTGAGCACCAAGCCTGGCCCCGTCCCCTGTGGGCAGTGCTGTGGCACGTGTCCACCCCTTGGGTGCCAGGCCCACAGTGAGGGTGCACAGGGGCTGGTATAAGTCCACCCCATATTTCTGATCCAAAAAAGTTAGGTTGACTTATACACTAGATCTACAAAATTCCTATATGTATATAGGAGGCCAGAGTATATGTGAGGCCAGAGCAGAAGCCTGGCTTTGGGTTAGCAAGTGGAAGTGGAGCGACTGCAGAATTTGAGCAGCCTGGCACAGGGGTCCTGATCAGAGCCTGCCGTAACGCTGCGAGGCAGCGGGAGGCCTTAGCAGAGCACTGAGTGCTGTGCCTTGTCTGTCGTGCCTGTGACTTTTCTCAGCAGTGCAGCCTTGCCTGGTGGGGGAGGGTAGCACGGCTGTGCAAGTAGGCGGACAACAAATTTTTAATAATCCAGTTTGACGATGGAACTCAAAAATAAAGCTTTTAAAGGGAACATCAAACAGTAGCAAATTACATAAAACTGGAGAGAACAGACAGACAAAACAAGCCAACTCGATGCTAGTAGTCATACAAATCCTCCCCTCACCAAACAAACAGAAAACCCCAAACCTGAACACCCCCCACTAACACACTGGTTTTCAACCTTTTTTCATTTGTGGACCCCTAAAAAATGTTGACTGGAAGTGAAGACCCCTTTGGAAATGTCAAATGCAGGTGTGGCCCCCTTTGAATTGTAAGTGTGGGTATTCGCTACTTCTGATTGATCATGGTCAGCTTGTTGGACCCCTAGAAGTTCACATACTAAAGGCTGAAAACCACTGTCCTAAAATAATTAACATGGGGGTTTGCAAAATCCCAAGGAAAGAAGTGCAGATGGCTTCTTACCATAATGCTCACAGGCTAGGGTATGTGAAACCATCGTTTTCTTTCCTCTTCACCAGCACTGAGTGGCATAGTTCTGGGTGGTGGACATGCCTGTGGATGCCCTGTCAGGGTATTCTGGGGGATGAAGTGGGTGGGGGCCTTGTAGTGCTCTGGGTCAGGCGGTCTATCTCATCTCTTTTTGCTGCTCAAGAAAAGCGTGGTGGCCTGCATACCCTTCTTTGCCTCCCTCTTCCTCAGTTGCACCACATTCTCCTTGCACTCCTGTTCCTGGAGCGCCCACTGGCTCTATTGCCTCTCAGCTGCATCTGTGCAGTTCAGTGAACACGTCCTCCCTGGAGCACATCTCTCACTTCCTTATCAATGTCAGCCACACTACAACTGTCAGAAATGTCCCACTCAGGACCGCCATGCTTGAGGACACTGATAAAAAAAAAGCAGGGAGCGGTGTGACGTACTGCAGCAGCCCAAAGGAAAAGATAACTGTAAAAATGTACTATTTTTCTGATAACCTTGCTATGGGCAGCAGAACAGCAGCAGCCTCCCTGGGGTGGTGGCTGGGTCCCTGGCACATCATGGGGAGCCTAGAGGATTTGTTCCCCAGGGCCCACATAAGTATGTTCCCGGTGGACACGATGGTAGTGCCCAGGTGGGAAACTTCAGAACCAATGCAGGGTGCAGTAGGATTAGATTTGAAGGCTGCTTTCATCTTCCCACTAACACAATTGGTAATTTGTAGGCTTTAGAAGTGTAAGAGGATTCGCCTTCCTGAGGGATCCTGCCTGAAATAAGTGGCAAGCTAATTTAGAGGTGGTTTACAGGATTAATAGGATTCCTCCCTGATCATAATTCAAAATGCAGGAAGGGGCAGGCTTCCAGTTCCTTTGATTTTGGCCTGTATAGTTCAAACCCAAATCCAGATTTGTTGGCACGAGGCACCACGGGATTGCTGATGGATGACTGCTATAGCTCACAGCAAGGACAGTCAGCGCATGTCTTCTGCCTGCTGCCATATAGTCACAAAGGGCCCATGTTGCTTGGGGAGATCCTTTACTCAGCTGACAGGAACCTAGGGTTTTGTTGCCCTTAAGGCCCTTTATATGCAGTTGCACACAAACTTCTGCCAGCAAACCTGCCTGCGTTCTTCTGAACACAGTTTGTCTGCCTAGATGACATTCAGTCC